TTTTTTTTCGAATCCGTCCAGCATTGGGTCGGAAAAATATGGTCCCCCTATGAATATACATGAATTATTATTACAATTTTATCTAAAATGGGACCAACAACATACAACGAGCGTCATCTTCTACATTTTTTACAAACTAGAAGAACTTTCTACAAAGGACTCACTACGATTAAATTCTCTCTGTTTCTAACGACAATATAACATAATAGAGGGCACAAAATGCGTGCAAATTTTAAAAACAATTCAAATATTCAATTAAGTACTTAATAAATTAAAAAAATTAAATATATTGTCAATCACTGCGCAGTGCGCATACCAATGTATATGTGCTCCCTTCATATTGTCGAATTGCTAAATCAATTTTAAATCCAGTTAACACCAGTTCATTAAAAATCTTTTTCCGATTCCTCCTCCGATACCACCACCAATTCCGCCTCCTATGCCACCGCCGTAACCTCCACCGATTCCACCTCCCAATCCTCCGCCATGACCTCCACCGATTCCACTTCCAAATCCTCCGCCAATTCCGCCGCCATGACCTCCGCCAATTCCTCCTCCGATACCACCTCCCAAACTTCCATGTCCTCCTTCGAATCCACCATCAAGTCCACCGCTTCCGTATCCAAGATCTAAGATTCCTCTTTTGTCAGTCTTCTTATCGGAAGCTGCAGCTTTCGATTTCTCCTCGCATGTTGCTAAGCTGGCAACCGTAAGGAGTAGAACTGCTACCTGATTAATAAAAAAGTTATTTTAATTAATTATTATCTGACTTGATAATTGTATTTTTGTGTTGTCTTACCTGAAAGGACTTCATCATGGTATGAATGGTGATCAGTGATGAATGATGCTCTACCCCCTGTTGTAACATCTTTTTATACCGACTTCTAATGGTGAGGGTTTTGGGGGATTTACTTTCACTAAACAAAGCTCCACTGGTTTCTGGTTCTACACTACATTCACATGAAGAGATACCACTTCCTATTGAAGGATAGGCGGCGGACGACCAATTTAGATCATTTGCCCACTTATTTTCAGCCGTAAGATACGTTTGTGAAAAATTGTCAGTATGCAATTTGCTCCACATATTTTACATAACCAACACATCAAACATAATTTTCTGCGCTCGATATTCGTACATTTATGTAAATTACCTCATTTTTTACGACACAAAATAAATATTAAATTTATTAGTTTCTGTTTACAGCAAAACATTTATTTTGATTTATTGAAAATAAATATTTCTTCAATAGAGTCGATAATAAATGGCATATTATATATAAATTAATTTACTTAAAAATTCAGAAACATAATTATCTATCGTATAATTTACAATAGAATACAATCAAAGTGTTTCTTTATTTAATTTTTCGTATTTATTCATTCTAAAATTCAATTCAGACAAGACCCTTAAGATTGAAGAGTTTTAAATCGATTGATATTCTTTCTAAATTATTTTTCGTTATATCTTGATGTAACAATTGGGATTATGTTATGGACAAAAAGATGTGTTCTCCGTATTAAGTGTAGAGATCATTATTTTAAGGATTAAGTTTATTGAACTACCAGAAATAATGATTAAAACTTTTTCTTAAGTTAATGGTACCATATAAATCTTACAATTATGCAATATTCATGTGGATAAATGCCTTTGTAATGTACTTCTTCATTTACACGAAATAANTATCTCCTCATTGCAAGCCTTTTTAATCAACGGTAGTTTTATCATTCGCCCACTGTCCAAATTTTACACCCATACAGAGCCGTATTTTCATCAAACACTTTATAATAAATTAATTAATCATTAATTAAGCGACTCGGCGCTCCGCTATCTTTTGTTTTACGTCTCAGTCGATTTTTCGATCCTGACTTATCAGCTTCCAAGAAATGCACGATTTCAAATTTTTATATTAGCTCTCACAAAAATGAAAAAAAAAAAGAATTATCACAGCAGAAATTAAAAACTTCTAGACGTCGGCGTCGGTAAATGATAACGAAAGCTTTTATTAGGTACTTAATGTAATTGGATTGAAATCTTGTATTTTTATGTACCAATGTTTTTCGAATAAAATAGACTTGTTTTACTTATATTGGTCGCGGTTATTTTAGTACGTGAAAATTTTAAAAAATACTATTGATAATATAGGAGTTATGTAGATAATAAGCACGAGTTTAATGCAAAAAAAAATCAATTAATGCACGACGCATACCGAAAAAATAACGACCACGATATGCCACACAGAATACATTTAAAAATATTTACTACAAAAATACAAACGTAATTTTCAAGTAATGTCATGTCATGTAAATGTGATTAGAATTAGTTTAGACTATAATTGAAATAGGTATAATGACGGTTTAAT